AGGCAGACTGCTCTTGCAGCCAAACACAGACAAGGCACAGCCCAAGGCTGTGTCCGGGGCACCAAGACGTATGCCGTCTCCTCCCCCTCCATCACCATCATCGATGAGAGGAGAATGGGTGAGTGCTGACGGCTGTCTTGTTTGGTTTTCTCTTGGTGGGTAAGTAGCATCCTGGTCTAGTCATAGATGGAGATGCAGAGAAAAGCTGAAAGGAGAGAAAGCATGGCCGGGCGGTATATTTGCCAAGGGGCCACCCTATGCAGATGGGAAGGTAGGCATCCAGCAAGGCAGCAGTGCCCCCTGATCACCCATCAGATGCCCGACGTGGTTGGCCCAGGGACCCCACCCCCACCCCCCAGAGGAGTAGCTCTCTTGTGTAATGTTCCGAGCCACCTAACCAAAGTGCTGTCGGTCCCTGTTTGCACAAGATTTTGGAAAGATGGCCCTCAAGACTGTTTGAATCCAGACATTAAATAAAAAGAAACTGCTCATCTGCGAGCACAGGGTGTGTAGCAGGTACTTACTATAGAGCAGAGGCTTGGACATATTATCTTGTTTAATCACCACAAGAAACCGTGAATCCAGACATTAAATAAAAAGAAACTGCTCATCTGTGAGCACAGGGTGTGTGGCAGGTACTACTATAGAGCAGAGGCTTTGATATATTATCTTGTTTAATCACCACAAGAAACCAGTGAAGGAGATATTTTAACCTCTCTTTGCAGACACAGAAGCTGACTGGGGATCTGGGAAGGTCCTTGTTCGGGCTGCACAAGGGGCTGCGGCAGGATTGGAGCTCAGCTCCGTCAGGGCCATGGTCATGCCCAGCCCACTCTGTCCCACCTACGGCCGGTCAGTCCCAGAGCAGAGGACCTGGTGGCTGCTGGGAATGTGGACCTCAGAGGCATCAGTTCATCATCTGTTAGGACCCCCAGACCCCCTTAGGATGTGAATGAACCTCTCCCTTAGAAGTGCACAACCCACTCCAGAGTAATAGAATTTCAGGGAGGCCATGACCTCTTCAGTCTCATCTGGACCATAGCTGATGATCACCTTCTCTCTAGAGAAATTATTCTCTTCAGGTCCAATCAAAGTCATATTTGAACCTTCATTCTCCGTGTCTTTGAACTTGAAGTTATAATCCCCAGGCTGCAGCTGTCCTTGGCTCCGATAATGGAAATTGATGAGTAGTCCACAACTGAGGCCTGCGTCTGACACTGAAATATGATGCTGGGACCTTTTTTTTGACCTGGTTGAGTTTTAGACAAAACAATAAAATCAAACAACAACAAACAACTCTAGTTTATGTGCTACCCCATCTAGAGTCCTCGAGAAGAAAAGGAAGGGAGGAAGAAAATAAATTCCATATATCTATTTTTTAATTTGAGAGAGAGAGAGAGAGAGATTTGTTGTTCCACTCATTTATGCATTCATTGGTTGCTTCTTGTATGTGCCCTGACTGAAATCGAACCTGAAAATCAAACAACAACAAACAACTCTAGTTTATGTGCTACCCCATCTAGAGTCCTCGAGAAGAAAAGGAAGGGAGGAAGAAAATAAATTACATATATCTATTTTTTAATTTGAGAGAGAGAGAGAGAGAGATTTGTTGTTCCACTCATTTATGCATTCATTGGTTGCTTCTTGTATGTGCCCTGACCGGAATCGAACCTGCAACCTTGGCACATGAGGATGACACTCTAACCAACTGAGCTACCCGGGCAGGGCCCTAGTATATAATCTTTGCATAATCGTTCAATTTAGATTTTTCAAATCTCAGTGATCTAGCTTTCACAGCTTCTTTGAGTAATTATGTTTTCACATTTAAATGTCATAATCCTCTAAAATAAGGAGGAAGAATCCCAAGGGAAATTGTTTATTCTTGTGACAAAGCATGAAGCAGTCTAAAGCTGGGTTTGTACACATTAACTGATTTAATCTCAGTTAGCATATGCTGAGCACCTACTGTTTGCTCAGCACATGCAAAATACTTTGGTATACATTATCTCATTTTATCCCTTCACCCCCAGCAACCCCGTAAGGGAGACAAGAACATAACTGTCACCTTTCACAGAAGAGGAAATGAGGTCCAGAGTGGCCCTGTGACCTACCCGAGGTTAAGCATAGGTGTGAACTGACAGCCACGTCTGAAACTCAGGTTCCAGACTCCACATCCTGTTTGCTTATGCCTCAACCAACGTGTGAAACAACATTTCAGATGCAGGTCAGGGATGGGGACTTGCTGAACATCATGCAAATACCAAGATAGCAATCCCGAGAGCACATGAGGCTTAGTTCTCCTGTTGATTAGGCAACTTCATCCTCCCACACTGGAGGCTCACTCTCGGGTCTCCTTTGCTGTGAAGCCCCATGACTACCACCTAGGAACCTGGGGCCCCTTGTCACACTGGGTCCTGATCACCCGGTGCCCTCTGCAGGGAGCTCTCCAAGGGTAGGAAATCTCTGACTAAGAGTCAGCACATCAGGGGCACCAGATTGAGGAATTGGCCTGACACCGTTGCCATGGCAACGTCTACTTGACTTGGCCTCTGACCAAATGTCTAGGCCGGTGAACAAACAGGAGGAAGTAGGGATGACTCAGGGCATCCCCAGTCATCAGGAGGATGACTCAGCTGTTCAGCAAAAGGGGACAGGCAGGAGGCCAGTCTTGGGTGATGGGAATTTCTGCAAAGGCCTTGTGTTCCCTGAAAAGCCAAGGTTTGCTGAAGTGCAGGGATCACCTCTCGGTCATCTCCACATCCCCTGCAGAGCCTGCCCGGCTCTAGGCAATGTCCAGTAAGTGGTGGTTCCGTGTTGTCCAGCTAATGCCAATTTGTGTACCAGCACAGTCCACAGTGTTTTTCAAAGTGAAATCCCTTCTGATGCTGCAGATAGTATTTTTAAGTTAATAAAATAGAAGAGAAGTAAAAAAAAAATTGAGAGTGCTTTATGTAATAACAGTAAGAGTCAGTATTATTCTCCATGAAGTTGTTTTTTGTTTTGTTTTTTTCATGGAGAACATGAAGAGTGTATGTGTGTGTGGTGGTGGTGGTTGTTTTTTTGTTGTTGTTGTTTTTTTTGTTTTTTTCATGGAGAACATGAAGAGTGTATGTGTGTGTGGTGGTGGTGGTTGTTTTTTTGTTTGTTTGTGTTTTTGTTTTTTTCATGGAGAACATGAAGAGTGTATGTGTGTGGTGGTGGTGGTGGTGATGGTGTGTGTACTGGGTCCTGATATAAAATACATTCTTATTCCGGATCACAGTCAAAAAGGTTTGAAAAACAATGGTTTAAAGAGTAATCTTAGGAAGAAACTTACTTGACCAGTTTCCTGATTATAGGAACATTGAAACTGAATCATCATTTGCATTTGCATCATTCGTCTGTTCATTCATTATTCATCCAGAAAAGGTCTTCTGTAGCTACCTTCTCCATTGTATCAGCCTTTAGGTGTGAAGGTGAAACCTTCAGGAACAAGCGACTGGCTCGGTACAGCTGGAGCCACTAATGAGGCAGCAGGGGCCAGGAGAGGCGTGTGACAGGTGCCACCGCACGTCCGCCCATCTTCAGAGGAGGAACCTTTGTTTGCTGAGCTTTTGTGGTTCAAGCAGAATGAGGAGTGGACTTGAACTACTGACCTTTGAACTACAGACATTCTGTCTGTTTCCCCTCGCCCTGCCAGTTGTCTTAAATAATTCAGCACCTATATATTGATACTATCCTATTGTTCCTAAATCATGCTGTTGCCAGTCTTGTCTCTTTAGTTGGTTCATAAACTACTTAAATGCATCTTCTGCTTCTTTTGCATCTTCAAAATGCCTAACATGGTTGGGAATATAGCAGGTATTCAATAAGTGCTTTCTACTTATTGACAACTATTCATTATTCAGGTCCCATGCCTTCATTCCTCATTTCCTCCTACCATAGAGAATTTATCACATGGCCTTGTGCTTTGTGTGTATCAGCTGCCTCCTTTGCTTAAACTGTGAGCCCACTGAGAACAGGAGTGTATGTACTCTGTCCATCACTGTGTCCTCAGCCCCTAACACAGCTCAGTGCCTGCCTTGTTCATTGTATCTTCATATACTCAGCGATTGGCACTTCATAGGTGTATCTGTTAGTTATCGTCATCATAATGCTGAGTAACAAACAACGCCCACTATCTCAAAGACATACCAAGTGAACATGTGTGTTTGTGGGGCAGCTCTAAGCTTCAGGTTGGCACTGGGTTTGCTCTGTGTCTCTCTCACCCTCCTTAGACCAGCAGGCTAGGCAGGGCATGTTTCTCTCATGATGATGGCAGAGGTGCAAGAGAGAAAGTTCAACTGCACAGGTGCTCTGCAGGCCTTGAGTTCCATCGTGTTCATGTACATACCTTTGGCCAGAGTGAGTCATGAAGCCCAAAGGCAAGGAGCAAGGAAGCACACTCTGCCTTTGGAGGTTGGGACCGGGTAATACTTCTGCCTAAAGTACCAGAGTAAGTGCTGAGGTTCTCACTAAGTGTCTATGGAATGGAAAGGAAGGGAAGGGATTTCCATGGGACTCTTTACCTCCTGTTATTGAGCTCTCCAGAGAAAGCGAGAGCCTTATCTAACAGATAACAACCCAGCCAAGGGAGTTCAATTTGTTGGGCAAATACAGCAAGTCCTCAGAAGTGACTGCAGCAGAGGTTGTCCCCCCAGGACACCCAGTGGATAGTAGCTGCCTCTGGGGTGGAGAATGAGGCATCGCTGAGCAGATAGAATCCTGCTCTGTTTTGTGTCCTGTGGAAATGTGCATACAGACCAATGCCCGCATATTTGTTAAAATTAGCAGGTCAGGGCCTTGAGGAAACCTTTTTAAATAGCTAGATATCATTTCTGAAGGGAGTCTTGGTTGTCACCTTGGGTTTGTGGTCCCAGCTCTGGTGTGGTTCAAGGCTGTGCCCAGTTTGATGCCCCTCCTTTTGTTAGCCAAAAAGTAACGATCTGTTCTCTCTTCATTCCCTCCTCCCTGGCCTGCAGGAGTGCTGTGCCTACCAGACAGCCTGAATCTGCACAGGGACCCGCAGCGGGCAAACAAGCCGGGAGAAATGCCCATGTTCAGCCAGTCGGAGCTGAGGACCATCGAGCAGTCCTTGCTGGCCACCCGCGTGGGCAGCATCGCAGAACTGAGTAAGTGGATGCACGTTCTCTCACCCTCTCTGTCCCTCAGGTGCCCCCGCCGCAGGGCAGGGCTTGGTGGCCAGCCAGGTGGCGCCTTTCATTGAACACCTGCCGTGGGCACAAAACGGTGCCACGATGGCCACAGGGAAGGTGAGGACTGTACCGTCAGGCAGACCTGGTCTGTGCCCTGGCCCCGCTGCTGATGTGAGTCAAGTTTAACCTGTTCTGAGCCTCAGTTTCCCACAACAGAGAGAATAATAGTTCTTCACTTAGAGTGTAGCTGTGGTGATTTGATGGGCTAATGCCCATGAAGGAGTTTGCCACGTGCCTATGAACAGTGTCTGTTCACTTGCTTGTCACGGCAGGATTCCTTTAAAGCATATATCAGATCTCATCTCTCCTCTAGTCAGAATCCTCCACTGGTTCCCATCTGATCCAGAGGAAAACCCAAAGTTCTCAGAATTGCTTCCAGGCCCCCCACACATATCACTCAGACATCTTCCACTCTCCCCTCTGACCCACTGAACTGCAGCCACCCGGGCCCCACGCTGTTCCTTGAACATAGCAGGCATACCTCAGGACCTTTGCACTTCCTGACCACTCTTCCTCCAGATATCCACATGCTTAATCCCTCATGACCTCCAAGTCTCACCCAATGTGACCTTCTCAATGAGGCTTTCCCTGACCATCCTATTTGAAATTAGGACACACACACACACACACACACACACACACACACACACACACCCCGACCTGGCCTGCTGGCTCATTTGTTGGAGCATCATCTCATACACCATGGGTCAGTGTGTCCAATTCCCCAGTCAGAGCACATACCTGGGTTGTGAGTTCAGTCCCCAGTCGAGGCAAGTATGGGAGGCAGCTGATCGATGTTTCTCTCTCTCTTCCCTCTCTCTTCCCCTTTCTCTCTCTCTCTCTCTCTCTCTCTCTCTCAAGTCAATGGACATGTCCGGGGATAAGGATAAAATTATGACCCTTTGAGGACCTTTATCCCCCTCTCTGCCTTACCCTTCTCTCCAGCAGTTACCCTATGGCAGGGGTCCTCAAACTACGGCCCACGGGCCACATGCAAATACAAATATTGTATTTGTTCCCGTTTTGTTTTTTTACTTCAAAATAAGATATGTGCAGTGTGCATAGGAATTTGTTCATAGTTTTTTTTTAAACTATAGTCCGGCCCTCCAATGGTCTGAGGGACAGTGAACTGGCCCCCTGTTTAAAAAGTTTGAGGACCCCTGCCCTATGGCATTCTCTCGTTTTTGTTGTTGTGTTGTTTATTTTAATAACAGCTTCACTGAGATATAATTGAAATACAAATCACCTATTTAGAGTACACAATTCAATGATGTCTAGTCTGTTTCCTGAGCTGTGCAGCCATAACCACACTCCATTTTAGGACATTTTTATTACCCCCAAAACCTGAAACCATTAGCAGTCACTGCCCTTCCCTTAGTCACGCCCTATATTACTCTTCTATTTGTTTGTCTGTCTCTCCCTACTACTATATAGTCTCATGGAGAGTAAAGATTTTGTTTTGTTCGTTGATGTAACCCCAGCACCAAGAACACTGCCTGGCACACAGTAGGTCCTCGAGAAATACTAAGAGCAGGGAAGAGGGAGAGACAGAGAGACAGAGGGACAGAGGGACAGAGAGAGGTGGTAAGAAGGGAGGGATTGTCAAGAAGGTGGGGATGCCACAGTTTGAGCAGTGACGTGTCACGCTTGCACCTCCCTAATTTAGGGCTGTGCTCTCTGAACCCCGCCAACCAAAGAGAAGTAAAACCGTACTCACTTGGGATCCCGTTGATTGTCAATGACTTAGCTGTGTGTTAGTACCTGGTGGGACTAGAGCTTTGAGCTCAGAAACACGTGGCTTATGCTAAAGCATGAATGGGTGTGAGAGTCTGGAAAATCCTGAACTGTTAAAAGCTTCGGGATCCAGAAAGCAACGTGCACCTCCTCCCGTGGGAATTCCCTACACCAGGACAGGCAGGTGGAACCTCTGGGAAGCGAGGTAGTCGCTGATTCAAGCAGTAGGGGGTCCTTGCGGTCACTAAATCTACTTTCCTGGCACCTGAACTTGGAAACTGCATTTCCGTTCTCATCAAACCCCCAAAGTCGCGAGATGCCTGCAGTCACAGGGGCTCCCCATTACCCATCATTCACTTGATTTTTCTTAAACGTTTGGGTGCCATGGACCCCTTTGGCAATCTGGTGGAGCCCATGGACCCTGCCACAGAATATTTTTAAATGCATAAAATGAAGTGCCTGTGTTTACAAAAGAAACCAATTACACTAAGATTTTCATCTAAATTGTGGTGTAGTAATTATGTGCTTTTTCAGTAGCACATTAGCAAGTTCTAGCAGCAGCTCTGATGACCCCATTAGTTGGAGGTGGTGATGTGTGCGAAGATATTTTGAGACATCTGCAACCATTGCAACGGGATGAGGGAACGTCTGCCTTTTAACAGCTCCCCGGGGATTGAGATACAGAGGGTCCGAGCAGCTCCCTCGGGGGAACATCACTCTCAGAGGAAATGCTAAGATGCACCCGGGACAGGACCCTGGAAGCACAGAGCCTGGCCACAGTGTGGTCATGTCTGCATGGGCGTAGCGTGGGCACCACTCCTCTGGCCCACACACTTTGATCTCTTGTGGTCTCAGAGGTTTGTCCTGGGGTATAGTTAGGACCCCTCAGGAGGCAGCCAATCAATGACTCTCTCTCATCATTGCTGTTTCTATCTCTCTCTCCCTCTCCCCTCTTCTCTGAAATTAATAAAAAAAAAATGTTTTACTCATCATTGCTGTTTCTATCTCTCTCTCCCTCTCCCCTGAAATTAATAAAAAAAAAAAATATTGTTTTAAAAAGAAGAAGAAGAAAGGATTTGCTAAAATATCTGCACTTCACCTAAGCAGGCAGTCTGCGGGAGCAGCTTGTGGCCTAAATTGTTTTTAAGGACAATTTGCTCTGCAAATTAAATGCTGTCATTGCGGTTGAATGTTGACTTTCGCATATGAATTGTTGGCACACAAATGGGTGCTGCTAATTGCCAGTGGGTTTTGTACATTCATTAAGCGGGACCCCGTAGAACATATGCGAGGAAGCGCATTGGTAAGCCACGTGGGCGACTGAAGATAATGAAATTGCCTTCTTTGCTGGCCTGCCTGTGATTTAGACCAGCTTGCACTGTGGTCTGAATCAATACAGCCTTGCTCTCTCTGTGCACAAAGAGCTGTTCTTCATATTCAGAGGTTACTCTGCCGGAGTGGATTCTAGAAACCACTGTTTTTCCAGCAAAGATGAGGTAGAGAGAATTTGTTCCCAGCCATCACGGCTCTTCTTGAATCCAGCTGTCGTCCAGGTTGGAGGGCAGAGCCCCTGACCGTGACCTTCTTAATAGCCAGTAATCATATCAGCAGCAGCTGATGTTGTTGAACTAGGAAACTATGAAAAATCTATATGAATTATCTCCACTATGGCCATTACTGTCCACATTGACATGGCAGTGGAGGTGAGAAGAGGATAAACAACTTATCTTAGATCAACCTCACCTGTGAGCTGAAGGGCTGGAGCTTGGACCCTCTCATGGCTTGGGGTGAAAACACACCCACTATTTGTGGAGCCCCTACTGTGTGCCAAGTGCTTTAAATACATTAAAGGTATTAATGTTCCCATTTCACAGATAAGAAAACTGAGACTTGGAAGGATAAATGCCTGCCCCAAGGCAGAGTCATAATTCAAACCCAGCTGTTGTTTTTCTTTTTCTACTTTGCTGTGCTGTGTCCAATTCAGTTTTGCCTTCTGAGCACCTAACACATTGCCCATAGCTTGGGGAATATCCGTTGCATGTCAAACGAATAAATGAATGACCCACAGTGAACTGGTCTGTAAAAAAATAAATAAATGAAGCTGAAGAAAATGTGACAGGTGAGGGGAACTCTTCATGAAACTACAATAAAATGGTAAATACTCGATTGAACTGAATTTTGAATTCAGAGAACTAGAACTGAACCTCTGTATGTCTAAAATATTTGAATGAGAAGCTAAATCAAGATCCCACAAAGGTCCCCAAACATTCACAGGCTGATGATTCTTTAACCAGAAGCCCTAGGAAATTTGCTAGGTGATGTACTGAACATCACAGGTGACTTAGTCTGGCGGGCAGTCCAGGTCTCTTTCCCTGAACCAGCGAGGAGGTCTGAGGGTATTGGGTCCACCCAGTCTCCCCACTGAGGCCAGGGGGGAAAGCAGAGGCCCTGGGTTTTCTCACTCTTGAACCAACTCGACTCTGCATTTGGTCCTGTCCCATCCCGTACCCGTGTCCTCTGAGATCTTGCCTGGACTCTCCTGGGGACATCCCAGTCTTGCCCCCAAGCTCCCAATTAACCACCCGTTGCACAGTCATTAATTATAGTAATTGCTTCCTGCTGTTTAAAGGGAAAAACTGAGGACTTCATTAAAAAATTCCTCCTCCTGTAATCTTTTCACACTTAACCATGAACTTGTTGCTCCCATTCAATGAGGCAATCACAACAGGGCCATTAATTTAAAGCTGTGTGTAAAAAGGGTTTCTGGGTTGTCTATCCAATGTGCCACCAGGAAAAAAAAAAGCAGGGGTGGGGGGAGGGGAACAAAACAGCCCTAATTGCTTGGACAAGGGGGTCTCTCTCCTTGTTTGAAATGCAGATGGCTCTTCCTAGAGTCTAGCTGCCTCCAGTCCCAGGGTTGTGGGAGGTTTGAAAACAGTGCTGTAGTGAGTGATAGCTGACGGAGGATGAAATGAAGAACAGGGGAGGATGTGAAGGTGCTGCCTAAGCTCAGGCTAACAGAGGCGCCAACTGCTGGTACGTGAGGCCGTTTGTCCCAGGGCACTCACGTCGGGCGTGCAGGAGGATGGCTTAGTCGGAGATGAGCTGATAACCTGAGTCTGGCGGGGTAGCGTAGCGTTTCCCAAACGGCAGCACAGGAGATGGTTGTAGGTGATACAGAAAACACTTTAAATTTTTAATTTGCATGAATTTTTTATGAGTGCCAGAAAAATATTGGTTTTCCATTTATGGCACTGATAGGAGGTTTCCTTTTCCAATGAATTTATTTGTGGGGAAAGAATGAGCCAATTTAAAGAAAATATTAAGTAAATAAATTGTACCTGCGGCACACAGATTACGAGGGAAGTCATGATGGTGATTCCCACATGGTTACACATGGATGTTCAAGTCGGTTCCTAGAGACAGGCTCCCGCTGCCCAGACTCAGGGCTACTCGTTACAAGGGATTTATGGTTTGGGAGTCATGAAGCTGGCAGGTGAGGCAGCAGAGAGCACATACATAAAGCAGGGTTTAAAGTGGAGCTAGTGGTTGTAGAATCCCTGTGCCGATTTCATCTCCAACGGCCAGCCCTGCTCAGACATCCTTGGGGCCTCTGATCCAAGGACTAGGCTGATAACGATGGCGGTGATGATGGTGATGGTGATGATGATGATGTTGACAGAAATGATGATAAAATGATGGTGGTGGTGACGATGATGATGATGATGTTGATGGAAATGATGATGATGATGATGTTGATGGAAATGATGATGAAATGATGGTGATGATGTTGATAGAAATGATGAAATGATGATGGTGGTGGTGATGATGTTGATGGAAATTATGATGAAATGATGATGGTGGTGATGATGATGTTGATGGAAATGATGATGATGGTGATGATGATGTTGATGGAAATGATGATGAAATGATGGTGGTGGTGATGATGGCAGTCTGAGTCCAGAGAGCACCTTCCTAGCCACTGTACTACACTGCTCCTTCAGGAACAGAACAAGGAATAATTCATGGTCTCTGCCCTGGAGGCTCCATAGATGTGTGGATAGCTAACTGGGAAACATGACAGAATTAAACAAGTAATGTTTTAGCCATATTAGCAGGTGTTGCAGGTACACAGGGGAAGGGGAGATTGCTTCTGACTGGGGGCATTCTGGAGGGCTCCATGTAAGAAGAGGCATTTGATCACAGCCTTGAAGGTCTTCAGTAGTTGGGAGCATGAAAGGATGGGCACTCTAAGGTGTGAAACAATAAGAACAAAAGCAGGGAACCTGGAAGTGCAGGGCGAGCTGAATGATGCTCAGAGGAGATGGTTAGCCCACCCGAGGCAAAAGGCTCCCCAGTGTCTTGGAGGATAGAGGGGTGGTGCCGGGGCCCTAAACACGGACCCGTTTCTTTTCTCCACTCCCTTTTGGTTTTTCTTGTTTTGAGCTTTTTTTATGGGATCTCTCAAGAAAAACAGATGGAAGGGTGAGTGTACTCCAAGTTGACCTGAGATGGAAGTTATAAGAAAATAAAAACTACTAGTTCAGGAAGCTTATTATTCCGATAGTACCTACCAAGTAGCACACTCCATAACTCAAAACTCAGAAACTACAGAAATGTTGGATAAAAAGAAATATTACCCACAATCCCACGAGGCAGACAAATCCGTGGTCAACATTTTGATTTTTTTTTAATATTTACTCAGTACATACTTTTTAATAACATAATCCTAATCACACTGTATGCAATTTTGAATTTCACTCTTTTCCCACTCACCATTTTAACATCAGGATTTTTTGTGACATTGCACCTCTATATAAACATTTTTAATGACTTGCATAAGTTGATGATGGTATCATGTGGATGTACCAGAGTTTATTTAACCACGCTCTTATTTTTAAACATTTGTTTCTTTGTCAACTTGTGGACCCTGTAAATAAGGTTTGGGTAAACATCCTTGTGCATGAAGATTTTGCTGCATTTTGGATTCCAACATTGGGACGGAGTCCCAGAAATGGAATTACTGAATCAAGGGTAAATGGCATCTGTTAACACCTTGGCTGCAAAATGCCAGCTATCCTTAAGACGGACTTGGAGCTGGACCAGGCGGCACTGGGCTTCACTCAGAAAAAGAGGGTGAAGACCGCAGACATGAGAGTCACACGTGTCCAGGTTGAAATCTGTCTCTGCTTCTGACTACCCTTGACACCTTGAGTCTCAGTTTCCTTTGTCGATGAAACAGGATTTCTCAGGGATCTTCAGGCACATCTTTTCTGCAAGTCTTTTCTGCCTGAGGGATCTGAACTCTTACTTCTGTCTACAGGCGACCTGGTGTCCCGAGCAATGCACCACCTGCAGCCCCTCAATGCCAAGCACCACGGCAACGGCACCCCCCTGCACCACAAGCAGGGGGCGCTCTACTGGGAGCCTGAGGCCCTGTACACCCTTTGCTATTTCATGCACTGCCCGCAAATGGAGTGGGAAAATCCCAACGTGGAGCCTTCCAAAGTCAACCTCCAGGTGGAAAGGTAAGACTTGCCTTCGCTTCGCCTAAGAGGGGAGCTCCCCTCTGGCCATCACCGCCTAGTGGTGGGAGGGTGGGCACTGCCTCCTTCCATGGAGGCGCGGGGTGGGGGAGGGGAGGGATGCTGGGATCAGGATTGCCCAGCTCCCAGAGATTCACTGGAGAGGTCCAGATGGGAACCATGGGCCTGAGGAGGTACCCGAGACCCTGGTGGAGTCTTGGAAGTGGGATTTCATAGAGCAGGTCCAGTTCCAGGTAAAAAAAAAAATGACCTAGGTCAGAAGAGCAAGTCTGCAAATTCTGGGGGAGGTGAAGGTCTGGGTAGTGCAGGGTAGCCTCCTTGTGAAGGCACCTTTGGGGGATGCCAGATCCTGGAGTGTTACCTGCATTTCATTCTGGCTGCCCGAGACCCTCCGAGGGGTAGGGGGGTTAGACCATCAATACCTGCTCATCCAGAATGGGCCACGCAGGGGGGTGGGAGACTGGTTTGCTGGGGGAAGCAGAATCCTCACGGGAAAGAAAAACAGGGGAGGAAGAAGGGAGAGCTTCCTGGGAGATGAAGCCCCCTCTGACCCGGCTTCTGCTGCTCCTTGGCTCCATCCTTCTGCTTCCCCGTGCCTCAGTTTCCTCATCTGTAAACCAGTGGCTGAGCTAGTGGTTCCCAAGTTCCACCCTGTCAGAGGCAGGGCGTCAGAAACCACCCTGCAGGCATCCCCTCTTTCTCTGGGAACATGTCCACAGAGCTCACCTCCCAGTGTCTCACAAATCAGGCCCCCCCTCCCCGCAGGCCTCTTTCCTCCAGCTCCCGTGGTAGTGACCCCTGTCGATCAGAACAGTGGTTAAGAGAGCAGGCTCTGTGACCCAGACACTGAGTTCAAATCCAGGCTCTTCCAATGAAAAGCCAGGGGGCCTTCCCTTGCCGGCGGGGCTCAGTTGGTTGGGCGTCATCTATGTACCACAAGGTTGCCAGTTCGATTCCCAGTCAGGGCACATGCCTGGGTTGCAGTTCTCGATCCCCAATAGGGGATGTGCGGGAGGCAGCCGATCCATGTTTCTCTCTCTCCTTCTCCTTTTCTCTCTCTCTCTAAAAGTCAATAAAAATATTTTTTTAATCCAGGGGGCCTTGGGAAAGGGCCTTCACCTCTTTGTGCCTCAGCTTCTTCATCTGCATTGTAGGACTACTAAGAGTAATCCTTTCATGGGGCTGTTGGAAGATTAGATGAATTGAATAGTGCCCAGCACATAGTAAGTGCTCAATAAATGTTCGCTCTTTATTGTTGTAGATATTATCTGCATGTAGCTAAACAATTCCCATTTGGCCTCAGTGCAGTTTTCCTTTCTCTGTTAAATGTTTCCAAGTTGTTTTAAAATTCTCGTTGGATGCTCTGTGCCTGCCAGAATGCATTTGGGCTTAAAAGTGGGCTCCGCCACAAAACCGCGTCTCTTGGCTTTCAGTTTGGGGAAGAAGATGGAGCGTGGGCTAGACAGAAGTTGCCTTTTAAAAAAAAAAACAAATCCCAAGTTAGCTTTAAGATTTCAATCCAGTCTGGAGTTAGCTTAAATCAGGGGCTTACTCACGTCTCCCACTATCCAGGCCAAATCAGTGGGTACCCTGTGCCTCTCTTCATGTGCCAAACATGCCCCAAATGAGAGATGGCAAAATGTCCCTGGTCCCCAGGCAGAAATAACCTCGGTCAGACACACCAAGACGCCGCTTTCTGTGAGTGTGAATCCTGAGAGTGGAGAGAATGGAAACCGCTGGCCTGTGGAGAGCCTGTGTCTGCAGCCCCCAGCCCCCATCCACTGCTTATACAAAGCACATTTTCTCTGACTCAACCCCTCACGTCTTCAGCTCCCACCTCTAAGCAGATGACCCCCCCCTTACCATCCCCAGCCAGACATGGCCTTCTCTGACCTCCATTCTAGGAAGACCCCTAAGGTTTCCACTTTCTGGGACAAGTTTTAATGAGGATGAGCCGCCGGGGAGGACGGGAAAGAGAACACGGCCCAGGATCTGTTGGAGTCATGTATCTCGGTCTTTCCATTCCTTTTTGGTTGAATTTTCAGGCAACAACACAAAACACAAAGTGGAGCATGTCATGTTTGAGTTCTGTTCACTTTGGTCCTCTGGGAAGGGTATGGGTTTAGGAGTCAGGTGGGCCTCTGAGTTTGGGTCCCAGCTCTGCCTCTTCCAGCTCTGAGACCTTGAACAGATCATTTCCTCAGCTTTAAATGAGAACAAGCCCAGCCTCGCGGGACTGGCGTCAACAAGGAGTTAGATTTATAGCTAAGACATCCAGTGCCATGCCTGGTACAAGGGGACCTCCCTTTGTCCGCGTCTCCCAAAAAGTAGCTGATGTTATGCTCTTTTGTTGTTGTTGTTCTAAAATACTGTTATCATGTCCCTACAGAAGCCTGTGTGTGATTCCTTCTAGACAAAAGCTATTTCTTCCTTTCCCTGATGGGACAGGCATTGGTGTTTAGCATCTAAAAACATACGTTTCCTTCAGACAAGAGAGAGCCTCTAACTGTTTCAGTCAAGTGTTCACACCGATTGCATCCTAAATCCTCCATCAACAAGGCATTTCCAGCAGGAGGTAGGACTTGAATCAGGAGTTGCTTTCTTCTCTCTCTTTCTGTCTCCTCTCCCCCACTCCCCCCAAATCAAACAAGATTTCCTTGACTCTTTACTTCTATTCTGGCAAAGGCAGGAAGGGCCACGGTGCTCATAAGGTTTTCCACGAGTCTAGAAGTTCTTCCGGGAATGGGTCTGAAGAATAGTATGCTTTTGCTCATGCCCAGCAGAAAGGCTGAGAAATATCGGTTGACTGAAATACGGATTGTGTTGTGCCTGAAACCATTTCTCCTTGTCAGAAGAGCCTTTCTTGGCCGGAGCATTTGGAACGAGGCCCACGTGCACCATTTTACTCTTTCGTGCGGGCACAGCTTTAGGGTTGCTGCGTTTGTTTTGGATAGCTTCATTTTTCACTCTGGGATTTTGAAGAAACTCAGTGCCAGTCTGAAATTTCTGTCATTTAAATTTTTCCAGAACTTTTGGCTTCTATTTTTTGAACTTCTGAAATCTTTCTGGTACCTCAGATATTTTTATTAAAAAGAAAACCCAAATAAATCTTGTGAGATTATGATTAGGCAATATTTCTTTTCCTTAATTTTGAGGGTAGGGGCCACGTGAGGCTACTGTTTTAAAATGGAACCATTGTAAATCATGATAAGATTTTCTTTCTCTCCATCATTACTGGAAGTATCAGTGATTCCTAGATGCATTTTGGTTATGGGTGATTTCAGTAATTTGGTTATGGATGATCTCAACAAATTTCGGGAAGTATCAGTGATTCCTAGATGCATTTTGGTTATGGATGATTTCAACAAATTTCAATTTGTTGCCACAAAATGAAAAATAGTAGGATAAATAGGAGTATTCTGTTGCCTGCGGTAGCTGGTAATGCCTCAGAGAGACGTTGATCAGCTTCACCTAGAACACTAGACAGTTAGGCGGTTCTACTCTCTCCCAGTCTCACTAAAAACAAACCAGAATGTGTACCTCGGCAGTGGTAACTCTCAGTCCTTTTGCAAGAAGAGCTGTACAATATGGCAGACTGTCTACTAGGGGAATCTCAACCACAAACCCAAGTATACCATCACCAACCACTTATTTGAGGAAAACTAAGAGGGAGAAGCAAAATAGTCTTAACAAATGGAAGCCCTGACACTTGAAGAAATCGGTTTAATAAGGCAGACACAACTGACACTAGAAGTTAATGGTACCCAAATACATGTTCCAAGACATTCACCCTATTGAAAGATCACCTCAGATATATCTGTTCTTAATGCTTTTTCATCATCTGTGGCCTTTGTGACACAGTGATTTTTCAAATTTCAACATGCTCCAATGGACAGATCCAGGGTTATGTGAAATTTCCAGTATTCTAGGTATAACTCTTCCCCATTCTTTCCCATTAAGAAATGTCTCCTACTCCAAGTGAGTGGAAGCATTCTTGATGCAAGCAACACTGGCAAGGCTGAAAACAAACTCTAGGAATGCTTAGTTGTAAAAGTTGAACCTACTATGACTGCTTAAAGCAGAAAATAAAACTTCTGAGGGGTCCAGTCTAGGCAGAGGTTACCAAATCCTTTTTCCTTCCTCATGAGAATTTGACCTGGGTTAATTCGCTAACTCTGTTCCTCTGGAAACCTGCTAAAATTTTCAGTGTTAACCGTGTTATTAAGCAACATTGCTTGTGGTCAGATTGACCCTAGATTGATCCATTAGATCTGGTTTGGTAGTCCTATAAATACTTCATAAACATCCAGAGCTTGAGGCTGCTTTGAATTCATTGACTCTGATAACTGGCAATGTTTGCACAGGAGCCTGGGCAGCTATTTTTATGGAGTTGTTACAAGAGATAATGGGGTTCATAAACTATGGAAGTTTTCACATCCCCCCGAGTGGATCTCCTCTCCTTGCACCTGAGTGTCACCTGGACAGAAGATAGCTCTGGAATGGCTGGGTGCATTGCTATTAGGACTTCCACTATAAGGGACATCTGATGTTGTCCCATGGTAGTCCCATGAGTCTAAATGTTTAGTAGAGCTTAAGACTGCTGGTGGACGTTGAAGCCAGAGAACCCGGCTTTGAGGATACACAAGCTGGAACAATGCCCAAGTTGCACCCCATCCAGCAGAGACCTCCCATTCTCCAGGGCTGGGCACAGACACTTGACCTCACACCACTGAGGCTGGGCATTGTACACTCCCAACAGGACCTCTGTCACCATTACCCCTGAAAGCTCAGTGTCTCTGCTAACACCCTGTCAGCTCTATGTTCCACCCATGTCACACCACTGGCTTCCCAATCAGTGGAGCCCAGGCCACATGCCTGCACCGTAGCTGCAAGGGAGTCTGGGAAGGTGAATTTCTACCTTGTTGAACAATGGATTAATCATATGGGAATATGCCAAACACAGTAAGATCATCAGTGATTCT